AACACAGCAGTTTCCTTTTTAAATTTATGGGTTTCATTATTTAATGTAAACTTAAACTTAAGGCATTGTTCCGCTTTGTACGACAGGTGGTACAGACTAACGTACATACATATGTATGTACATATGTATGAATTTAGTAATGTGCATAGCTAATCGGAAATACGAAGGTCCGTGCACATTCTAGTTAATTCGGATATAGAAATATTAAACAAAAAACAAGACATTTATTTTGAAGTTGCACAAATGAAATAAAAAACAAATATGATCTTTATGTGTTTATCTTGTTTATAATTCTTAGCTCCAAAGAAAAATAAGCCCGACCATTCACCGAAGTTCAAGTTGTTACGTTTTAAAAGAATTTTTCTGGCAGTTAAGTTAAAATATTGATTTCGTCATTAATGTTTGGGGTTTCATGCATTCTGTTTACTTATATTGGTTGCCGTTGTGGTTGTTTGTAGCAAACAATGGATAATTGTAACAACTGTTAACCGTATACCGAAGCAAATTGCATTAAAGCGTACATTTATGTTTGTCGGAAGTCCTGATTATTTCGCATTTACAGCCAAATGTCAAACCTACTGGGTGGGAATTTAGCACAACATAACAAAACGCGGCGAATACAAAAAGATTTATTATTCCGGGTTAAATACCTTGACCATCCCCCCCGTTAACAAATTCCTCATAATGCGTTGTAATTGCATAGCATGAAATTTGTTGTGATTGTGTCTGTGATTACATTATATAATTGAGCAAACCTCAGCGGCAATAATTTTATTAAAAATGTTGTTCTTTGAGAAACAAGAATTTATGTGTGGCATTTGTTACGCCTTCCAATTGGATACGCATATTCAAAATGTTGTAAATGATTCTTAAATAAATTTAAATACGATTCACGCCTAAATGGAATAGCGTGTAAGTAAAAAATGTCCTGCAACCAGAACTAATGTGATTATAAATTTGGTGGTTACATTTCTAAAATTGTAGCTACATAAATATATAGTCGGCATTATCCATGGGCTATTCTTTCTAAATCGGAGCGTGCATTGAATGTCTGCCTTCGGTTGGATTTGTTTGACCTTTGGAACGAACAAAAATTCGAAACTGACACAGTTAGTTTAAAATCCGCGCCCTGTTTGTGCGTTTTTGATCACCATACGGAATTGTATGTTGTATGACTGAACATGTGTTTTTTTTCCCATAGATAGTTATACATTTGTATAACATCTATTGCATGGAATAGTACTATAAATACACGTGCATCTGCTACTTTTATACTCTGGCTCTTTTCTCATGCAGATTTGAAGTCTTTCAAAATGATTACATCGGAAACCAAGTTTGATTGATATGTATCTCCGGATAACTGGAGCTTTACTGAAATTTACTGCATCTCTAGTTGGTGTTTTTTTGTGGATTTCTGTCAACAGACATCAGTGAATTCGAAGCTAGAAGCGCCAGGCGGTGCCTATTAATATAAAAGCGATTTTAACTAACTTTGTTGGCTTTAGTCGGATGACGGATTGACACAAATAGCTTCACAAAAATGGCGCGAAATGTCTATCGGCAGGCGCTATGATTGTGTTGCTGAAAAAGTAAGAGGCATTGTTGGATGGTTGGCAAAATCATGCGATTGCTTTCAGCTTGCTAAATTAATAAGTTCTGGACGATTCAATATATCTTCATGAAATAAACAGCATTTGAGACGAATTTTTGTATATTTAGTCTGTGAAAGCTCATGGTGCTACTATGGAGCTAAAAACTCTGATTCAAGTTTGTCTGTTTGCGGTGCATAAAAGTCTTAAGATTACACTCTAAATGTTCATTTAGCTTGGATCAATAAAGAAAGATTAGTTTTCATAATCATAATAATTTTAGGTTAGAACTTTGCCCCTAATTAACATTTAAAAAGGATTGAAAAAAATAGTTTTTATTAAAAACTTATTAAAAAATGTTTTTTTTTTTTTTAAGTTTTTTGTTAAATAAACTTCCACACCTTAATGAATAGCTTATAAACTTAGCATTTATGTTGGAAAACTATTAACGATTTACTATTTTTTTAAGATCTTAATGAATAGCTAATAAGCTTAGCATTTCTGTGGAATAACTATTAACGATTAACTATTGTTTTGAGATCTTACATCAATTTGGATGAGATATATGGATTAATTGGCATATGGACCTAATTTGTTTGTGGTTTTTTTTTTTAATATAACCCGCTATTATTTGCATGTGCTCTTTGCATATTCCTCTACCTAAGTTAAACATCGCATTTGAGCCGTTAGCTTCTATAACCAACTGTGCAAAAAAATATGTAAACACAGAGAATCACGTTTAAAAGTGAGGGCGGTGACATGAAAATTAAAAATAGATTAAAACATAGTCGCAGACTTGCTTAATATGCAACAACAATTGGAAACCAGCAAATCGTTCAAACTATTTTTTAGATCCAGTTCCCATTTAAGCTGGGAAACATATGAATATGTATGTATGTATGGATGTACACATATGTACATAAGTTTACATTTATTTGCTCTGCCGCTGTGACAACAAGTCTGAAATACCCCGGTCTACCACAGTTTTAATTAAGATTTAAGACTTAATTAAAGTCCCATCATAGTAGATTTAATGTGTAACACAACACCACCTTATACAAAAAAATCCTTTAAAAAATACTAAATAACTTAAAATAAGACTATCTATTTTTAAGGATTGCTACTTATTTATTTATTACCTACTAAGCGTTACAAAGAATTGATACAACATACGAGAACAATATATGTACAACATATGTACGTATGTCCATATGTCCATACATACAATTTTCAAAAGATATAAAAAAGCCACTTAAATTATATAATTTTCAGAAAATATATTTACTCAGTCGTTTTCAGTCAGCTTCTAGAATGGTAGACAATTACGCTTGTGATATTTCAGTCACCAGCTGTTTATAAAATCGGCCATTGTTGCCGATTTAATTTGCAAAAAGGGGAGAGAAACAAAAAATATTCACCCACCGATCCAATCAGCCAATAGCAGAGAGCTTCTGCAAATAATACATGCGAGTTTAAGTGAAATGATTGAAGTACATATGTGTGCCAGAGCTTTTATTACAAATTAATGTACATCTACATATGTATATTTATATAAATATACAATTATTTACCATGAGTTAAGATTCAATCAAAAATAAATATTATCTGTGCTTATACACGAGTATAAATTGATGTAAATATATTTAGGTATTGTAGTATTTTATTATATTAATATTTACATACACATCCATAAATATGTATGTATGTACATACATATGTCCTTTTTGGAATTATTTTTCGAGCGCCTCTGATAGATTGCGCTCCCCCTGATGGAAAATATACACGTACTTGTGCAGATATGTCCGTATGTTCATTTGTATGTACGTATGATACGTTACATTGTTGAAACCGTCTAAGCTCCGCCCAAACAAATGCATTTCTACAATAGCCAATCCAATTCGAGGTTTTTTGTGTATAGACAAATAAGAAGAGCTACCATCATACCATCCCGCTTTAAGAGCTGGTTGTGCTCTCTCGCTCGCGCGTCGGTCGTCTCGTCAACTAGCCGTCGCTCTCCGTGCTGCTGCCTGCCTTCGTTGTTAACCCCACTTAGACTTGATGATGAAGATGATCACCTAATTATCGCTATGAAAAGGCAAATTATCAATAAATGAATTTCTGTTGGTGTGCTGTGCTCAATGATATACGAAATTTAAAACTTTTTGTACACTATTTTTTTTATTTTTATATTTACTACACATACACATGTACCTAGTTTAACCACCGTTAATTGGGACTGCGTTTCGAATACGAAAAGTGTACATACTTATTAGTATTTAATTTACTTTCGCACTTACGAAATCGATGGGGGACCGAGCATACTCACGCTCGACAAATGCAGTGGCAGTACGATTTAGGTTTTAACGTTCTGTAGAATAATGACTGCGTCCAAAAGCAGGCAAATCAACTAACAAGATTATGAAAACGTAAAATCAGTAAATCGGTAAAGTGGTTGTAATTTTCTTTTTCAACACCTCTCTCGCATTGGGCTGTTAGCCAGACCCCAGACCCAGCTGCCAGGGCGGTTGGTTGCTCTTTTGTCGAGTCGAGTGTATATCCGTAGCTTAAGCTAAGCTACAACCTACGACACTCCCCGTAACTGAAGCAGGGCCCCTGCCCCATGGCCATAGCCTGCTCTGGCGTAGTGTGGTCTGGTCAGACTGGTTTATTCGTTTAGTAAATCTCGACTCTTTGCTTTGGCTCTCTTCTTTGAAGTTTCGCCGTTTTGGAGGGATGATGCATGTTCGCATCGCGGTGATTGGGAGAGAGCACGGGGGCAATGATGTGAGTGATTATATTTTGATTGCATTGCTCACTGTGGTTGGTTGTACGGCATTGCTCACTTAGTACAATAACCGGCGCGTCGTCTGCTAGTCTGCTGAAACAGTAATTTTTTGTATGCCGTGTTCTTCGTTTGTTGTCGTTTGTTTTGTTCCCTCTCTATCGCTATCTTCGCTTCAAGTTCGCTACCACCGCCGCTCACGTATTCGTATTCAGCTTTAGATGGTAATTTGCCAGACCAGACCGGGGAAACCTCAGTGAGAGTGCTTTTACATTCAGTGTTGTCGCTGCTGAAGCTTATAACAAGCGTAGTTCTTGTGGAGATTTTATTGCCGTCAGTTCGCGATCTTGTTTTGCCGTCGCTATTGACCTCACCTCACCATGTCAAGTACAATTTTAATAGGATACTTTTTCCTGCAACGGATAAAACATTTGTTCGCTTCTCGTGTTTTTAAATAACTTGGCTTTTCGAAATGAATTAAAGCGGTGAAAACCCTAAGCGGTTGGACATCAATTATAAAACACAAACATCCAAAAAACAAAACAGATAATAAATGAGTCGAAGAAAAGAACATACATAATGCAGTGCTCTAATAGTGCATGACAAAAATAATGTTATTTATTTTGTCTATTGTTTAATAATATGAGGACTTTGCCATTTTATAAACTCACTGTTTGGAAATATTTAACACAGTTCTGTGTTGAATCACTCGTCATTGAGCCCTGGAGAATTAAATAATTAAACATTGTCCATTGTTTAATAATGCCAAGACCCTCACGTGAATCATATGGCGAACAGAAGCCTCCATATTCATATATTTCACTGACTGCAATGGCCATTTGGAGCTCACCGGAGAAAATGTTACCTCTCAGCGATATATATAAGTTTATCACCGACCGCTTTCCGTACTATCGGAAAAACACTCAGCGGTGGCAGAACTCTTTGCGGCACAATTTGAGTTTTAACGATTGCTTTATAAAAGTTCCGCGACGGCCAGATAGGCCAGGAAAAGGAGCCTACTGGGCGTTACATCCGCAAGCGTTTGATATGTTTGAAAACGGCAGTCTACTAAGACGAAGAAAGCGATTTAAATTGCATAAAAATGATAAGGACATCCTGAATGAAGAACTGACCGCACTTGCGAACCTAAATCGATTTTTCTTCACCACTCGCAATGGAAATAGTGTATCGCATATGACTTCGCTGGACATCAACAGTGCATCAATGGGTCTTGACTCGTCCCTTCATATGCCCAGAGTAACAAATCAACTATCAACGCCCTTAGCACAAGGTAGAATTTTACCAGATGTTATCCAAACTCCCACGTATAATGCAAATCATACAAATCTATCAGACATGGCATTGTCCAATTTGCCCTTAATAACTAGTCCAGATATTGAAGGTCCGATAAGTTTACGGCCGAAGCGTTCCTTTACGATAGAGAGTCTAATTACGCCCGACAAGCCGGAACACCATTCGGAGGAGGAGGACGAGGATGATGATCGAACTGACATAGATGTAGTGGAGTGCAGTGGAATTCTTCGATATCCGCCAACATCTTCGTCCGACGAGTACATGACCATGAGTCGATTAAACCACAGTGAAGATCAGCGCGAACGGCCGCTGCCGCCGCTACACACTATTAATGCAGGGAACGTTCCGTTTCTTCATTATGCCTCAGGAGCCAATGTATCAGGACTGAGCTCGGGAAACCTCCAATCCTCGGGAATCCCCAGCACCACATATGAACTTGCTATTTCCCATCCACTTTTCATGATGGCGGCACCCCTTGCCAATATGCACAATATCTATTACAATAACGTGGCTCTGGTGGCACCGTCACAGCAATATCTGACACCGGAAGCCCAAAACAGAATAGACAATGATTTGCGTACTATATAAATAAATCAAACTAGAATATTGCTGTACAGAGTTATTTATGAAGATATGTAAATTCATCCAAACTTAGTTCCTTCTTTATTAAGGTTAATTGATAAATAGGACCAAAACATGGCATAATTGTAGTTAGTATGTACGTTAGTAATGTTAGTAATACCTATTACACACTTTTTATCACATACCGTATCCATAAACTATTTATTTTATTTGTATTAGATTCTATACAGACATGTGTAAGGTCGAAAACTATCTGAAGAATATAAATGTTAAAATACCAAACAAAAAAACATTTTTTTGTAATAAGCCGCTACTTGGGATTTATTTAATTAATTAAAATTCTCGTATTGTATGTGCATATGTACACCAAGCCTTGGTAAGGGCGTGTCGCATGTTGATGGTAATATACCCATTTGTAATAATGGGCATTACTGTCGGATGGGACAGTAAGCATTGCAAGTGGTAGATATTTTAAAATGGAATATTTTCAAAATAATGTTGTCATTATAACGCACCTCTTGATTGGTCCTATGTTTGATGGTAAGGACGATTTTGGGTTGTTCGTTAAGGAGATTTCAACAAGCCAGGATTGCTGCAAGTGACAAAAAGTTAAATGATATTCGCGGCAGTCCGTAAGGAGTTCAGCGAAAGTTTAGAAATATGTTACGGGCATTGATGTGTTTTTAAAATAGATGTAATTTTACGTTTCTAAAAATTAAATTTAAACCTGTGCCGCACTGCACAAGACGCACGGGAAAAAATGTCTATGCTAATAACAGTTCCAAATATACAGATCGAAGCATTCTTCTCATCTTTATTTTTATATGCATACATATTAAAAAATACGTTATGAAAGAACATCTCTCAATAATCATATTTCTTATGGGAGGACCATTAGATTAGCAAACCATACCGAAAGAACAAATTTTGCTTATTCAAATAAGTTTTCAAATCAAAATTAATGAAATAATATGTCATGAGGGTGAATAAGTTACCTGCCAATAATTTGGATATCATGGCTAGAAAATTATATGGAGATGTGTTTTTGTTGACACTTAATTTTTTGGTCTCATATACAACATAGCAGGAATGGAAATGATCGGTAATAATGTAAGACGGTAGAGGAAAAGTATAAAGGTTCCAGTTAAAAACATTACAATTTTAACAAATATTTTAAGCAACAATCGAATTAACCGCTTATCACCATGACCGTCTGTCCGCTGATCGATTTCAGAGCTATAAATACTTTTCACATACTGAGTATTGCCTATAACTTTAGATATTGTCTCTTTGCTTGGCTTAAATCCTAAACATGGTGATCGTAGGTAGCGGTTTGCATCTGCACATTTTCTTTATTAACTTTTCGCTAAGTACATAAAACGCTAACGCCAAGAGGTGTATTGTAAATGTGTAAATATGTAAATATGTTTGTTCCCAAAACTGTTGGGATCGTATTGGCTTATTGTGACTTTAAAAATGTTCAATCTTCAATCAATCTTCATTTAATTATATGTGAGCAATAAACTTGTGGCACGGTATGTTGGGAAACTTTTAAATGCTACTGTTATGCTATTTATTTTCCCACCGATCGCGTTTCCAAAATGAGACATTGTATCAGATAAATATCTTGGCATATCTAGCTTTTATCCTATTTGCAACTTTAACAATTACATAAACACATATGTTTAAATGTATGCATACATTTGTACATACATATGTGCATATGTAAATATATGTATGGTAATTATCAACGCGGAGTTTTAGCTTACTTCAAAGCACGGGTACCACTTAGTATGAACAATATCGACTTGCCTGTGGATTGATTGATTTCTATTGACGCTAGTCGAGCGCTATTGGATCTGAATGCTTCTTCTGTTACGTACCCATTCTCCAATACAGTATACCCGTGTACTCTTTGAATACCGGGTACAAAAGGTTTACAGGCTTATACTGTGCCCTTTAATTATCGCCACGGGTGTTTTTCCAATTGGGTGTTAATAGTTAAAAACTTTTGTGGAAATCCATCAATAAGACCATATTGATGTTAATGTTTTTCTTATTAGCGGCAGATCAAAGAAGACTTTGAACTCGCGAGTAAAGTGAGCGTAACAAATGATAGTCTCAAATTTGTCACGAGCGCATCTGTAGCTCATGAGAATGAAAATCAGAAAATTGTTTTCTGTAAACAGCAGTGCTCATGGAAAGTTCGTGGAAATAACAGTGTTGTTTCGTCAGTGGACATAGGTCAATCCATATGCCTTGAGTCGTCCACCAATGTACACTCTATATCAAACGCGAAGCTTCCTAGAATTTATTGTATTTAAATCAAGTTTATTTTGTTGTCTACAAACTGTCTCTTGGTTGACAGCGCGATGTATAATCTTTGTAATCATTTTTAATGGGAGTGAAGGATTTGTTTTGATATATCGCTCACTTCGACCATCCTCTAATATATACTGAATGGCAACCGGGTACAAAAGTGGTCGCACGTCTCAACGCGTTGCACAACGTTCCTCTGCGTTTCATTAAAACAAAATTTGTTGGGGGTATTGTAAGTTCTAAGTATGAAGTTCACAGGAGTCTGCTCGAAAAATTTGATTCTGATATCTAGGCGATTCATTCAGTGAATTTCAATGACAAACGGACTGACTGATGGACATGGTCATATTTACTTGGCCATTGATGCTGTTAAAAATAATTTGGTTCGAGCTAATAATAATAATTTTATAATTTTTGTAATAAAAATTTGTAACATATCCACAAATTTGAGTATGTTCAACCAACATGGTTTTGAAATACTTCGGCACGTTCTGAAGAAAATACACTGAGGAGTACCGAACGGTAAAATATTTTCTTGAAGGGTTGGTCAAAGACACGTATTTGAGGCGTTTGTCTGCTAATTTTTATGAATGCTACATGAAAAGACTGACAGCCCATGAAATGGGCTACGGCCATTTTAGCATGCTAAATTAATAACTTCTGAACGAATTTAGATATCTTCATGAAATATATAAAATATATTTAAAAATAAAATTTCTATTTAGTCTGTGCAAGGGTGCATGGTGCATGTGCATGGTGCTGCAATGACTAAAAGCTTTACAATAAATATTAAAAGTTCAACTTTGATTCCGGACAATATTTGCCTGCCTGCGGTAAACAAAATGCAAAACTTTTATTTTGGCTACACATATATTAGATTTTATTGTTATATCTAATATAATTTTATAAACTTGTGCAGAAACTTTATTTGCAGCTTATTTTTTATATCTCACCAGTCTAATTGATGAAATTATAGATTAGGAAGCGTCACTTAAATCGATCTAGAAACCAAACGGCTCCGACCCGCAAAAAGTCTTTTGGCTTTTCAGATTAAGGAATATTAAAAAATCATATATGTACATATGTACAAAGAAAATATCTGGAAAAATGTAGGGGGTATATTTTATAAGCTTCAAGGTAAAGTTAAAAAAGTCACAGGAATGAGAAGGTTTGCAAAATTGGGTTTTCTTTAGAACTGTCTGAGGAAAAGAATAATAAATTTACCTAATAAATGACATCAAAACCAGAAACATACGTTAGATATATTTCTTTACATTACGCCCTTATAAGCAGCCAAATACAAAGACCACTAAGCACCCCGTATGTCACGATGCATTGGCAACAATATGGCGGAACTAATGTCAATACTTATACTACATATTTCCTAAATGCTTCGTGAACCATTGCTTGGCAACGCTGACAATATATGTATTTAAATTTCCGATAAGAACTGAATTAGGAGAATAATTTATCTGCAAGCAGTACGAGTCAACACAGCCAAAATACGAGGAAATGTAAAAATAAACTCCTGCGATTAGAATTGAATAAAATTTAATATATTTTAATAATACAAAGTTTGTGTTTAAAAAGAGCAAAGGGTGAGAAACAGTAGTCTACTTAAGGTACTAGAGATATCAGGTTCCTGGCACATAAGTATGAATGTATATACTAAGAATTCTCAGAGAATTCTTAAATATTTATAAGTTACAACCAGAGATATTTTTGTTGTTGTTAGAGCTTGCTGCTGACTTTATACAACGCCCTCACAATACATTATTAAATAAAGTGTCACTATTTATAAGGAATAACAAAAACGATTGTTGTATGAAAACATGAATTTTATTAGAGTAATAAAACAAAATAGGTAGGTAAATTGGTTTTGTAGAATCATCGTCAATCGTGTCGACTCGGACACACATAAACTGTAATGCCGCAATTAATCAAAAAAGAACGTGCAACATCACTTCTTAAAAGTAGCGTCATGGTGTGGTAAGTAACAATAACAATGTAATATAACTGCGATATTTACAATGAGGGATGCTGGAAACCTTTCGATGGGGATGTTACAGCTATTAGAAAAAAATCATGATTTTCTTGGCGACCAATTGCCATGGAAAGTTAATGATCCGCAATAGTAACGTAGCACTTGAGCATTCGTCCATCAGCATATAATTCAGTGCAAGTGTCACGTGCTCATACGATTGAGGAGTTTCCTTATCGTGGATTAAAATATTGCATTCCGAATTGAAAATAAGCTAAGATGATGGAGGCCTGTACATTTCAATATTAGGCCAGGCCCACTCTTATTCGGAAAAAAAGAACATTTGTCAAATGAAATAGGAAAGGCACATCTGGCTATAACCACTTTTTTCATATTTATGTATGTAAAGTGTATTTAGTAGGCTGTGTGGTGCCACTTTTTTATTATTTTGTATTCAAGCCAAAATGTTTGTCAACCGAAATGAATGCGCTGTCGTACATTTAATTGTAATTATAATGAATAATTTTTTAAAGACCCCTTTCCATTAATTTTCCTATAATCGAAAATGCTTACCATTCTGAAAAACTAATGAGTAAAAGCAGTTATGACATTAGCCGGAACATTTTCTTGATCCATTTTACCGTTTTACCTTTTCATTTTAAAAACTCTGTAAAAATGTCAAAAAAATATCATAGCCTGTATCTTTGTTTATTTCGTAAATACGTTAATACAAATATATGGATGAACGGCTCAGCTAAAATTGCTTGGTCCGCAGTCAAAGGAATTCTGGATATATTGATATTATAATTTACCTTTCACATAATCGGAAGAGAGGGGCGGTTTTTTGGGGGTGCTTTGAAGATCAAAAAGAAAGCAAACCGCTTAACCCAGCCGCACTCTACTAATTTTTCTCAATTAGGAACTAGGTACAAAAATATGTTTATTGCAATTTTTTGTCCCTCCTCCAATAATG